TTTTGACATGTCTGATCTTTCTATCTTTGATGCAGGTACAGATTCCAGGTTGAATCCTTTTGAAGAGTGAAAGGATGATGTGATCCATGGAACGAATACAATGAAGGTAAATTTAGCTAAGGATCCGTTGATCGTTGAAGGAGGGTTAATGACTAGGCCGTGAGCAAAGTGGGTCAAAGAAGCGATGGGATTACTTGTTCAATTTACAATGGATGAAACATCGATCTTGACAAGTAAAGGGACTAGTTTCATGTTAGGCTCGGAGGAGGATTCAAAGTGAATCAACTTGATACAAGTTTCGATGAAGGAGCTAAAGACTACCACTATGCGATGCATAGTGACACCAAGCATGTGGTCGAATGTACCATTGCAAAACTCCAGCTATGAATTATGGACCTTCTATGTGACCACATAGATTTGTTCTATGCGTCGCATAATATAAAATTTGGGTGAAATTTTCTATTTTTTGAGAAATCTTTTATTTTTGTTAAAACTCTACGTTTTGGTAACTTTTGTACTTTTTTTAGACTTTAATTCCATTTAGAATAGGATTTTATGGGTTTCCTATAAATAGGACTCATTATTCTACATTGTAAACATTCATTCTTATAATTTGAGAGATTAATCACATACGCATATTTTGCTTTCAAATCTTGTTCTTCATTGAAATAAATTTCAAACTTATCAAGAATTATTTTCTTATGGCATTCAAACATTTTTGGTGAGATTCTTAAATGTGATCAATGGGTCAACATATTATCGACGATTGTGTTAGTTTATTGGTTCAATATTTTTGGATCAAACTCTAAATGCTAATTCTTGAGTTTCTTGGGTTTGAATCAATCTCGTGTGGACTTCATAACCACTATTTATACGTGGGTTCACATCAATATGGCCTTTTAAGAACCTTTTTCTGGAACATCTGGTACAAAAATAATATGTTCTAGTGACAAAGAACATTTGGTGTCCCTACTGTTTCCATCCTGCTCAGTTCTTTCTATATCTCCATTCTGTACCCTAGTTTCATTTATGTTAGTGCTTGCAATATCGAAAGAAGATGTAACGTCAAAAAAAAAATTATAGATAATTTTTTTTTATTGATCTTGTATAATATATATTTATATTTAGAAAAGTTGGGGATTATAAATGGAATAGGATTTTAATTTCTATTTTATTTAGGATACATAATTAGATAACGATGGAATAAGTTTTGGTATATCAATATTGGACTCATTTTGACGGTTGTAATTAATTAGAAGTCGTTAACTCGAGAAAAAGTTGTTTTGGATAAGATGAAATCAAGTTAGATCAGAACAAAGTAAAACAAGGAAAAAGATAATCCTAACTAATTAATTAGCTTATTCATCTACTGAAATCTTCCCTCAATCAACAAACAAGTGTGTATTGTTTATTTACATTATTAGAGGACATTAAGTAAACAAAATATTAATATTATCATAGTCTAATAGAAATTTATTGGAGGATCGTTTATGAAACTAATCCCAATTAGTTATCATAAATGATGGGTAGATTAATCATTGATAATTAATACAAATCTTTTAGTTAATCCCTAATCCAATTTAATTGGGATAAACATCAAAACAATTCTAAATTCATTAGGAAACAACAAATAGACTACAGTATAAATATACGCCATTAGAATAAGTAAAATATCACTATCTAGAGCAATCTTCCGAATAAGAAAACGTGATCGTCCCACTTGCTCTTTTGAAACCAGAAACAAGATACCCACTAAATATCCAAAGCAGAGAAATTTAGGAGAAATTGGAACGTGCAATCAAAATTTTTCTTTGGAACTATCAAATTAAGATACTTTAAGTGCAAGTATTTTTGTTTCCTTATGCGTTTATGTCCAATAAAAAATGTATGGATCGCCAGTAGACATTTTTTTAAAGAGATATGAAATCCTATGGGATTATAAGAGAATTTAAGATAGGTGTGTCACTTAATCACCGATATACTCCATAAGAGCAGAGCGGTATGAAATGTAGATTTTATTGTTATGTAATTGTATATAAAAACTGCACGTGTCTTATTGGGTGTTTTCAAATACTCACTCTTACAATTTTTACAGGTTAGTTTGGGTCAATTGGAATGGTGTAGAATGGTGATGTGGGCTGCCAAGTGGATCAAATAAAAAGAAAAAGAAATAAGTTTGCCATCTTTAAATTTACCAATTAGTGTTCCAAACGTGTTATTTGAATTAGTTAGGAGTTTATGTTATGTTTAGATACAATTTTCATGTTTTAAATTTAGATTTATAAATGTTGCGGTTATTTGTTTAATAAAGAACTTTATTTTTATAGTTCTGCACTTAAAATAAACAAAAAATAAGTTTTTTTTGTAACGTTCCGTAGTTTATAGAAAATTGGGGCATTACAGAAGATGTCCATACAATGGGAAAGGGAAGTAGATAGTTCAAACTCTTCCCCTAGGGTAAATTCTTAGTCAAACTTTGCGCTGTAATATAAGGTTCTCTCAGAAAATTGCACATCCCATGATACAAGTAGTTTCTGAGACTAAGGATCATAGCACATATATCTTCTTCTTTTTTTTTGTTTTTTTGTTTTAGAATATTTGAAGAAGATCCATTGAATGGAACGGGGATCAAGTTTATCGCAATGCAAGGTCTGGTGGTGCACATAACAAACACAACCAAATATTCGGAGGTAGGACACGTCAGGTTTTCTCCCTTTTAAGACATCCAATGGTGACTGAAAATGGATAACACGACTTGAGAGCCTATTTATCAAGTAAACTTATGTTAAAACTTTAGGTGACCAAAAATTCTTTGGAATATTCATTTGAAGCATGAGAGCTCTCGTAGTCTCCAAAATATGTCGATTTTTTTTTTTCAACCACTCCATTTTGCTAAGGTGTACCAATACAACTAGTTTGATAAATAATGCTTTCATTGCGAAGAAAGGCAAGAGGGGGACCCTTTGCAAATTCAGTCCCATTATCCAAACGAAAATCTTGATTTTACTACCAAATTGAGTGGCCACCATGCTATGGAAATAATTAAAAACAGAGTAATATTTAAAACCATCATATGAATCAATTTGACACAGTCCTATAAATCAAAATGAATGAACTCAAATGGTATAACAGACGTAGATAACAAATTATTATATGGTAGAAAAACTTGCTTGGAAAACTAACAAATGTTGCCGACATGTGTCCCAAAAGACATAGATAGAAGTAAAAAAGATAAAACAGGACTAGAAGAATGTCCAAATCTTTGATAAACAATATGATTTTCTAGCATAGCACTATTAAGAGAAGTGGCACCGAATGGTTTCAACGGATAAAGTCCATGTGAGTAGACACCTTCACCAATCTTCTTTCCCGAAGTTCAATCCTGAAACACAACACCATTAGGAGAAAAATAACATTGTAATTTAAAGAGTTAATTATTTTTCCAGATCAACAAACAGCATGTTTGGATGAATTTTTTGATTAATCACTCAAAGATGCTACATCATTCGCCATATGATCAATAGCACCCAAATCAATAATCTAAGTATTCAAATGTTTAGATGTATATGAAGAGAAATAAGCTTCAAGGTTACCGGAGACATGAAACTGGAAGGATTTGATTCTTTTGGAGCAGGAGGACTAGGATGACCGATTTGTTTATTTGGGCCAATTGATTCATTGAAATGGTAGTATCAGCAATAGCAGTACCTTCTCCATTTTCTTCTTTCATAGTGGATGGCTTAAGATGAGAATGAAGTTCCCAACATCGATCCTTAGAGTGTCATAGCATGTGACAGTGGTTGCATTTTGGAGCTTCCCATCATTTCTTATTCTAAAAAGTATCCTTTTTTACATCTCTTTTAACAATAAGTGTACTGCCCTTTTTCGAGTTTCTTCTCACTGCACAATTGCACACACACTCGAAAAGGTTGGAAGTATAGGACTCATAAGGATATGACTCCAAAAAATTCTCATACTCCAGCCTTAAACTAATCAACAAAGAAAAGATCTTATCTTCTTTAGCACTTTTTAATTTTTGTGTCGATTGTATGTGGATGATACATGCTCAAATTGTCCAACATTTTCTTAAGATTATCGAGGTGTTCAATGAATGGCTTATCTCCTTGCTCAGTGGCAGTAATTTCCCATTTCGATGCAAAGATTCTAGTGGCGTTATTTTGGCTTCCATAAAGTTCCTCAATAGATTTCCATAACTCTTCCCTGAGTCTGAAAAGGTGAAGATTTTAGCAATATGTGCTTCCATTGAATTTAGAAGCCAAGACCGAACAAGTTGATCATTCGATATCCACCCTTCATATGTTGGATCTGTAGAATTTGGACATGCAAAAGTGCTATTAATAAAGCCCAACTTTTTCTTTCCACCAAGAGACAACGTCAAGGCTCTTGACCATGATATGTAAATTATATCATTCAAAGGAATAGTAGATAACTTCCATCTAGGATTAACAACATTCTCCATTTTTATACATGGATTAACTGATTTCTCAATCGTTGTAAACTAAAAAAAAAAAAGCAAAGGCCAAAAATAAACAGCAAAAAACTGAAAAACATGAACAATAGACTTTGAAGATGATTTCAACCCACCAAACGTTTTTAAAAATAGCCCAAAACATAGCTAATACAGACGATATGAATTCAATGGCACCAACCTTGCACAATTTCAAGTTACGATTTGAAAGATACAATCGTTTTCGTAAATGTCACTCAAAAATGAAAAAATCTATATTCACGGATTGCGAAAAGTTCATGAATTTCTGAACAAATTGTGTTTGAATAGCAATGGACCGAATCAATACATCTGCTTCAATACCATGAAGAATTCAATAAAAACTAATAAGAAAACAAAGAATTGTGTGGTTAGGTGCCAGTGTAGCAACCTACATACCGGAGAAGAGACGAACTTGTATATTATTCACTTATGATTGGAGCTTACAATGAAACATCTATAGTCGCATCATATCAAGGTTGCTTTATTGAGGATGAGCAATCAAGGAATGAAAATAACTAATTGTAGAAATCTTCCAAATTGTGGTTTTGCCGTAATATTCTCCAACATTAGCAAATCCTTCAAATATCATCAAATATCTCTCTTCTCCATCACCCCTATTCCTACCAAATTCATACATTATTGCTTTGGGTTAAAGAAGAAGAAGAAGAAGAAGACATTCAAGGAGAGCGATCATCATCCATTTAAAGAATTCAAGATTCAAGATTATTTCATTTTCCTCCCAAAACTTTACTTTTGGGGTGATGTATCGATTTCAATTTGTATACCTGTAATCATATAATGCTTGACTAGATGCATAGATGTTAGGATAATGTTAAAACCTATGTTTTGAAATTTTATATTAAATTCTATGTTTTAACATTTAATATTTATTTGGACTAAATGTTTGTTATGAACTTAATGATTTCAATTAGTTGCCACTAATTGGATTGTATTGTGAATCTTATTATCATTTGAATGAAGAAATATGGAAGATAGCATGTAACAGCAATCATTGTGAGGTCCTATAAACGGTAAGAATAATTGTCTACACTTTGCTTGATCCAAATAGATGTTCTTGTGATTCGATATATCTTAACATGTTCGCATCGTGATAGGGATGTTATTGAGTCATATGTGAGGAGATAGCTAATTCTACTTGAAAGATATTATTAGTTAAATTAGAAACATTGATATTCATATCCAAATAAATCTTGTATAGGGGAATACCCAGTCCTAGTGTTTCGGCTTAATTTTCACAAATTGCAGTGCCTAATTTATTGGGAGCCGCTATTTTCATCCACCATTGTTATATATCTATCCACTTTAAAAATATTATATTACATTTTTAATCAAATGTAAGTTTACTTACATAGACATGAATAAAATTAAATAAAATTTAAACTCTAAATTCATTCATTAAGGGTGTGTTTGATTGTGAGCATCAAATTTGCATAGAAAGAAAATAAATTCTAGATAATTTAATTGTTTATAACATAATTGTATGAAAATTAATTAAATGTGTTTAATTAATTTAGTTTTCAACATAGAAAATATTATATATGTCCATTTCTTGTTGGTTGGTAGGTGAGAGACAAGGAAAAAAATAAAAATAAAAAGAGTGAACTACTTGAAAAATAAAAACTACCCCTCCCTAAAGAAAATATTTTCATTGTTTTTTGAGGAAAATATTGTTGTCTGACCAGAAGTTGGAAAATATTTTCTACCAAAAAATTGTTAATCAAACACACCAAAAGTAAGAAATTTGGAAGGAAAAATAACATTTTTCACAAAAATTAAGGTTAATTAAACACTCTATAATATTTACATATTAACTCCATTTTTTGATTAAATTAGTTCTACATGGTGTACGTTTTTACAACACGTCAAATGTCAAGCAAAATGTACACCTCAAGTGTACATCTAACATTGTTGTTATTAAAATCTATTAAAATGTCAAGTAAAGCTCAATATGGATGGTGCCTGCAAAGGGAATCCTGAGAAGAATAAAACCAAAAATTCGTCAAGCTATTAAAGATGATTAAAAGTGACAATTACAAAAAGAATAGACAGAAGAAAACACGGATACTGTTGACGCTTCGCCTTACAGGTTGGATTACTAGAACTGAATCAAGCAATTCCCTCCCCTACGAATTTTGATATTGGTAATTTGAACACTAATTCATGTAAAGTAGAACAAACAACTTTTGTTTGCATTCGTGTTAGGAAACCGTTGCTAATTTCCTATAATTTTACCTTTAGTTTTAAAAAGATAAACTCCAAAATCTAAATATTCCACCTAAATTGATTTGAAAAGGAGAAGGTTTTTAATAGAAAAACTAAAATATATGATTATATCGAAATTAAAAAGATCACCTCAAACCACCACTTAATTTTTATTCCACTTGATAGTATCTTGAAACGAGTGTTATTTCATAATTAATTAATAATAGGAATATATCTTTTAATGTGGATGAATATAATATTTTTTTAAAAATTTTAATATGGATATATCTAGATTGAGGTAATATATAAAAGTGGTAATTGATATATAGTGTTTTTTAAATGAATTTAATAAGGATGATGTAACGGGATGAATATAGTACTTAAAAAAAAAAAAAAAAACTTGAAATTTTAATAGGAAATGGATTAGAGTGTAATAGATTATAAATAAAAATGTATGATTGAATTAGATGAAATGCATCATTATCAAGCCTCGGACCTGTCACTCCCTACGCCCTTGATCATTATCCTAATAATAGCAAAAGACGTGGATCTGCTCTTACTACCACCCATTTAAAAATTGTGCTTGTGACTGTACATAAGTGAATTATCCAAATGGTTACTGAACTTTTACAAAAGAACGCAGTCATATATATTAGTCTCTGTTTGATTTTGTTAAAAATAGAACTTTATTAAAATTTAGATAAAAGTTGATTAAATGTGAAGTTGAAATGTTAATGTTAATAAGTAATAAAATGAATTTTGAGTTCAAGTATCATACCTAAAAAGATTGTACTAATCCAAATTCAATTTAATTTGGCCTCAAACGGAATAGATAAGTTGTGCTTATGAGTTGAAATTTAAACTAATTAATTTTGAAAAACTAAATTAATTCAAGACTACTACGAATGCAATTAATGCACTCCTTTAACCCAAAATTTGACAACACTTTAATTATGAATATTAATATTCCTAATTATTTAACAATCTCTCTCGTGCAAAATTAACATATTCTTATATGTGACCCGAACTATATTTCTGTGACAGATACAAACATGCAAGAATGCATTAAAGATTTGTGAGTTTCATAAAAAAATTAACACAAAAATAATCTAGCTTAGCTAATAAAAAAGATGGAATTTATAATCTGGAGAAGAAGAAAATCAAATAATATAACTTCGTCTTTGCATTGAATCTTCAACCTGGATGAACTCTCCAATAATAATCCTCGTTTTTGCTCCCGTAAGATGAATTTTTGTAATGGATATGAGGTGTGAATCCAATGATATATGGATAGCCCTTCAATTTTATTCCAATAAGCCCGATAAATTCCTCTTTGCACGAGGACTCCCACTCCCCGCCTTCTTTGTTTGCTTTTGTAATTCTTTTACCATCCAAATTCTTCTCAATTTGTGTAAATTGCCGCCAGCTTTCTTAATACAAAAAAAGAGTCCTAGTCCTTTTTGAGGTTCATTCCAATTGCAAGTCCAAGTGACAAGGTCCAATTAAATTTGTTTCTTGCCCTCAATGTCCACCAATATTTTGGAATGTGCATTTTAGTCCTCAAGTCCATTTCTTATTGCAACAACAATCTTTCTTTATTCCAATTCAAGTCTTTCGATTTCTAAAGTTGTGGAATTTGATCCCAAAAACTGCAAATTTTATTAAATTTCATTCTTCTCGATCCATATTTGATACAATCCATGTTTTTTCCTAATAATAAAAAATACAAATAATTAAGTATGAAGCTCACAAAAGTCCCTTCTGGTGGTTTAGATAAGTGTAATTTTCACACTTATCATGTATTCATGTCCCATAGATTTTGTAGTTAAAAATGAGTTTAAGAAATGGTGAGTTACTGTGAGATATTATATAACATGTGACTTTATAATTAAAACTTGACATGCAATGTCACTCTTAAATGCACAACTTTTAATTCATATTATACCCAAAAATAGAGAGTAAGATTTAAATATCGGTTAAAAAGGTTTTTTTATAAGCACATTACGATCTTGAGCAAAAATGTTCTTCAAAGAAAGCCAAATTACAACATGTGTGACCTTTTTATTTAAGAAATGTCATAGCTTGCCACTCTCTATTGAAAGACAAATATCACGAAAGGCGTGACATTTAGACTAATATGACAAAGAATGCCACTATAAACCAGAGAATCAATAATTAATTAATTTCATAGAATTTTGATGATTATTGAGTGCATAAGAAAAGTCAAACGATGATTAAGTGCATAAGAAAAAGTCCAAATCTTTCAACATTAATTGATCTTTGTAGAATGATAACTTCATTAGCTAGTTTGGCTAAATTTCCACTACTACAATTGCCAACTTAGTCAATCAATTTTAATCTTATGAGCGTAAAGAACGAATATAATTTTAAATAAATAAAAATATAATTGATTTTTTAGATGAAATGTCATTAATATAATAACATTAAAAACACTACCACCCATTTAATAATTGTGTATGTGACGAGCCTTCGTAGCGTCTTTGAGTATACATTTAGATAAATAATTTCGTAGACTTTCACAAAATACTACAAGCTCAGATAGATGTTAACAGCCAACTAAATGCATGCTTATATTTAATTTCTGCCCCACCTAATTTGGCAAAAACCCTATTTTGATCTAGTTAAGCGAAAGAATATAGTACAAGTAGAAAGATTTTTCTATGCATGCAAACTCCTTTTCTTCCCAACCCACCCCCTCCCTGCATATAAACTTGCTGCTATTTTCCTATATATATATATATGCATACGATGTAATCACACGAGTATAATCAAACCATCATTTCTTATATTTTTTCAATCTGAGAAGTAATATTTTCTAAAAATGTCTGGGCTACTGTTAGTAGTAGCAACTACTCTTTTCTTGATAGTTTTACAGCGTAATGGTTAGTTGACCAATACATGTTACAGTATTTCATTCCCAAACGCGTCCATTGGCGTTCGTAATATATTCGAACAGGCTCAACAAAATGATGTTCGAATTGGAGCCAAGCTTGTTTGCCTTCATTTCGACGATTGCTTCGTCGACGTAATTTTCTTCCCACTCTGCCATGTCATGTTGCACTCCCCACACCCTCTCAACCCTATGCGTTTTGAAAAGTTGAAGCTGTTAGGTAAGAGGCGACACAATTAAGTTTCGCCTTTCATGGTGTAAGCCAAAGTCCAAATTCATTTTTTGATTTAATGCACAATTTTATTTATTTATTTTTAATAAATGGGTGATGAAGAGACTTGAACTCATAATTTAAGCAAGGTTCTGTTGGGAATCTACTTATACATGCACAGCGGAATTTAAAATATATTTCGATTCCCATCCAATAGATCTCATTGTGTTTGGTTAGGAATTGTGATAAGATTGTACCTTTTCCAGATCTGCAATCCTTTTGCTTTTCTTTTCGTTCCACAACTTTGATTCGCCACCACAGCTGTCCAATTGTCCAGCCTCCAACGGTGATCCACACAGAGAATTTGATTGCAGCCTCTAGGGTTTTCTCTTGTGCTAGCAAGAATAATGAAAACCTTCATGGACCTCAAACCCTAGTTATGTATTTATATAAACCCAAATAGGCTCGGCCCGGTCCGGCCCAATAATTAATTAATCCAATTAATTAAACCCGGTCCGTGAATTAATTAATCCAAT